AAAAAATTAACCTTACCCCAGCCGAAACCAGGACCCCAGCCTACCCACTGTTGTTGAACTCATTAATAATGTGTAATTAGCTCGGAGACTTAACCTAGTTTTAGGTAGAGGTGTGAAAATGCATTTGCACCTCGTTTTAAAAAAAAAAAAAAAAGATCATTCCACTCAATAACAAAGAGGAATGTGAAGGAAGGGAGTTAGAAAACTAATGAGAAGGAAGGTTCTCACTGCTTAACTGGTGTTTTTTTGAGTTTACATTTTCCTGTGAATTTTCTCTCCTTGTAATCTTCTCACAGCAGCCACATTGTTGTACATGTTGCTGGTTGTAGGGACAACTATTTAAGTGTCGACCTTTCATTACCATTTGAGGGGGTAACCAAGTGTTGCAGTGTACTGTGTGGTACCCTAGGACAGCCGTGTCTGCACTTTTCTGTAACGTCAGGAGTTAATAACATCACTGGCGTGGTTCATAGCTAGTGCTGCGAGATGCTCTTGGTGGTTTGAGAGAGTTGCAGATGATTCCTAGTTTCCGATTCCAGAGATAATAACAGTGTCTCAGATTGGAGCAGCCTTGTTTTAATTTGTCCTCATTTTGTTTATAACTTTCTTATTTAAAAGATTAATACCTTGATGGTTTGGTGCACAAGAAACAAATATCGCATATTTGCAGATAAGAATCTGGGACCCTTTTATTTCCAGTGATGCAAGCACTTGCTGGTATTTCTTACACTGCACATCTTCTGCAGATTTTACGGTGATTCCCAGTGGTGCTTACTTCCATTTCTGCCCCTGATAGGTAACTTTAATTATATGCTCTTAAGCCCGACTGAACATCTTGCCCCCAACCCTAGATTTTGTGCCAATGTTATTTAGGGAAAACCTCACATTTTAAAAGCAAAAGATAAGGTTATCTCTGGGAAGATGTGGAATTCTTTGTTGTGGGTTTGGGGGGTTTTGTGGTTTTTTTTAATGGCAGCTGTTTGAAACTGATGAAAGATCAGGAATGTTAACATTTCCTTGCTGGGGGAGCTGAGTGCAGGTGAGATGGTCAAAGGTGTGTGATAAATGTAATTTATCACATGGATATCACTACCCCATATCTAGTGTATTTATGCAGAACTTAACTGCCAGCCTGTGATTTGCAGTAACACATTTGCTTCCTTGAAAGCAGCTTTCCTTGCTCCTTTGTGGTACTATTTATTTCCAGAGAGATTTGTTTCTCCAGAAAATCTATAGGTGTCCTCAAATTATTTTTCCTGATTTTACAAAGGAAGGACTAGCAGGAAAAATAAAGAAATTCACTTAAACCCTTAAGTGATAACATAAAGACAGAAAAAAAGAGGCAAAGCTTGGCAGAGTGTCCTGTTCTGTGCTGGATGCTCCTCCTGTGCAGGATCCACATGCAGGAGAGCTCCTGGCTATGCCACGCTGCTGATGAGCCTGCGTACAGACACCTTTGGGAAGTAACAGAGCTATTTATTTTGGCATGCGAGAGGCACAACATATACGTGCTTTAAATTACTCTGTGTCGCTGGTCTTTCTCCCCAGACTAATGCTGCAGCTTGCTTGTTAGAACTGTTTGCTGTCCATTTAAACTTGTTATTGCCAGTTAGCAGAAGAACTGAATCTGGGGTAAATGTTTCCAAGTGCCATAGCCCATATTTTGCCTTACACATTTTGCCATTCTTCCACTGACCTTCCTGAGCTTATGCACTGAAGGTTCGATCCCAGCCAGCAAGTGGTATCACTGTCTCAGAGCAGAGCAATTCAGTGCTGTGGTGTTCATATAAACCACCCAGTTAGGTGGCAGTGACAAGCAGGGGTCTTCAACATAATGTGCTTATCAGTTAAGGGGATTTATTCTGCGTAGGTGGCAGTGGCATAGCAGATAACAGCCCTGACAGTGTAGCAGACATTACAGACCCGTGGTGGCCTGGAGCCATAGGTATTACTGCACCAAAGAATGTTTATCTCAAGAGACTATTTAGTTTATCTCAGATGCTCCACTTCTGGTCTCGCTTTCCTGAAAGACATCTTGTACTGATTTTCATTCATTTTCCGAAATTTAAATAATTCCTGGGGCTATGGAATTTATAGACTGAGTATCAATTGTAATCATGTGGAGGCTGATTTTTAAATTGCCTTTACTTTGTAATTCAAATTGTGTTGTATGGTAGACATTAATTATGTCAGCCAACATCTATTTACAAATGGGGATTTAAAAACGGGCAGTTCTTATCAGCTAGTGACATTTGGCAGATGGATGGTTTCAGTAACAAAAAAAAGAGAATAGGGGAGAGGGGGGGCTGCGCCCAACCTGTCAATGCCTGGAGTCTCTCATACCTTCCCTGGTG